CGAGTAAGCCCCGATCAAGCCCCGGAAGTGACAGTGGAAACGCGACTGGCCCTGGCACGCACTAGCACGGCCCGGCCCTGGCCCGGCAGTGGAAACGCGGCTAATGGGCTAGGACCTCAATATATTGCAGATATCCTCACTGAATATAAACCCAACAGATCACTCAGATCATTAGGATCAACTAGAAATACCAAGGGTTCACTCTAAGCAAGGAGAGTCTGCTTTTAGCTATTATGCTGGAACCAGCTTCCAGAGGAGATCAGATGTGCTCCTACAGTAGTCACATTCAAATCCAGACCCAAAACACATCTGTTTAGCTATGCATTTACTGAATGAGCACTGTCCCACTGTTTGTCCGATTGTTTGTACTGTATTTTATTTTATTTTTATTCTAAACAGTTTTAATTATTCCTATTTATTTTGATTATTTTAATTTCCTCTATGTAAAGCACTTTGAATTACCATTGTGTATGAAATGTGCTATATAAATAAACTTGCCTTGCCATAACAGAGATTATAAGGCATTTCCGGGTATCTTCCCCTTCTACCACTCGGAGAACAGACTCCGCTTCAAAGCATAAGTGTGAGAGTGGGCCCTAGCTTGAGTGATAGTGTCTACCACTGCTGGTAGTAGGCCACTTAAGTCGTCCTCGTCCTCGTCCCATCCAGAAACTACACATGGAGGTTCTAGAGGTCTCTAAGAAAGCAGGTCCTTCCTGAGGGGAATCAGCCAGGGAGGGGCTGTCGTCAGGGGCATCAGTTCTGAGAACCAGACCCTGGTGGCCCAATAAGGTGCATCCATCAAGACCTGCTCCTCTTCCTCCCTGACCTTGCACAGTGTCTGTGCGAGCAGGCTCACTGGGTAAGATGCATACTTGCGTAGGCAAGGCTAGGTCTGACCAAGTTCTGAATGTTTGATGACAGCTTAGTGTGATTGCCACACGGAGTGTGCCACTGCGCCATGCCAATCTTGGTAATCAGCCATGTAGCCAGTGCTGAACCAGTCAGGCAGTTCAGCATTGACTGCGTGTTTGCTGGTGAGAGACGTGCTGTCATACTGACCGAATCCAACTCCACACCGAATAAAGATATGCTCTGCACGGGGAGAGCTAGCATCTTGAATGGGAGCTTGTGAAGACACGCAGATCTCAAAATGGCCGTAACCTGGCTCTAAAACCTAGACTTCATCTCGAGACAGGCTCTATTTGCGTCTTTTGCCAAGAGGACCCCAATTTCCGCACGCAGGACTCTCACTTTGCTTGCCACATAAGGGCGATCAGAAAGGCATTTTTCTGTAACCACAAACATAGTGTGAATGGTACACTGTGGATCTCGAAGAAAAAGACGGTTTTCCGTCACAGACGTGGAGGCAAATGGAGTTTCTACAAGAGAAACAAAAAATTCTCCAGGATCTATCATACATATGCATGGATCTTGAGTTGTTACTTAATGCAACTGTACTCATTCATGGAATTATAGGAAAGATAAAATGCTCTGTCCCAAATGAGGAGTAAGTAAGATCTTTGTGTACTTCATGTTAAAAAATATTAAGGTTGATAATCGTCAAAACTATGTTTCTTTACTGTTTGTCACAGGTGATACATGCATATTTGGACACATTGACACTTGAAACAACACCAAAGCCAACACTGGCTACCACTGTTTCAATATTTCTACGTACATGCCTCTGCCTTGGGAATGTGGCAGATTTGATACATGGATACCTGTATGACTTTCTTTATTCTGTTGACCACAAAACAAGATATTTTTTAGAATGATGGTAACCAGACAGTTGACGGTAGCCATCGACTTGCATAGTATTTTTTCCTACTACAGAAGTCAGTTGTTACCATCAACTCTCTGGTTACCAACAGTCTCAGCAGATGTTACTATTTTTAGAGGATAGCTATTATTAATACGTGTACCAATATTTTGCTTGCAATAGTCATGTACTTTCTATGAGAAAATTACTTGTAGTAGCCTTTGTTCACTTGTTTGGTCTTGTTTAAAATTCATGTATAACTTTGATGAAAGGTTTTGATGAACTTCAAATTTTGACTACTGTATATATATATATATATATATATATATATATATATATATATATATATATATATATATATATATATATATAAAATGTTAATTTTGTTTATATATACACTCACCTAAATGATTGTTAGGAACCCCTGTTCAATTTCTCATTAATGCAATTATCTAATCAACCAATCACATGGCAGTTGCTTCAATGCATTTAGGGGTGTGGTCTTGGTCAAGACAATCTCCTGAACTCCAAACTGAATGTCAGAATGGGAAAGAAAGGTGATTTAAGCAATTTTGAGCGTGGCATGGTTGTTGGTGCCAGACGGGCCGGTCTGAGTATTTCACAATCTGCTCAGTTACTGGGATTTTCAAAAAAAGGGAAAACATCCAGTATGCGGCAGTCCTGTGGGCGAAAATGCCTTGTTGATGCTAGAGGTCAGAGGAGAATGGGCCGACTGATTCAAGCTGATAGAAGAGCAACTTTGACTGAAATAACCACTCGTTACAACCGAGGTATGCAGCAAAGCATTTGTGAAGCCACAACACACACAACCTTGAGGCGGATGGGCTACAACAGCAGAAGACCCCACCAGGTACCACTCATCTCCACTACAAATAGGAAAAGGAGGCTACAATTTGCAAGAGCTCACCAAAATTGGACAGTTGAAGACTGGAAAAATGTTGCTTGGTCTGATGAGTCTCGATTTCTGTTGAGACATTCAGATGGTAGAGTCAGAATTTGGCGTAAACAGAATGAGAACATGGATCCATCATGCCTTGTTACCACTGTGCAGGCTGGTGGTGGTGGTGTAATGGTGTGGGGGATGTTTTCTTGGCACACTTTATGCCGCTTAGTGCCAATTGGGCATCGTTTAAATGCCATGGCCTACCTAAGCATTGTTTGTGACCATGTCCATCCCTTTATGGCCACCATGTACCCATCCACTGATGGCTACTTCCAGCAGGATAATGCACCATGTCACAAAGCTCGAATCATTTCAAATTGGTTTCTTGAACATGACAATGAGTTCACTGTACTAAAATGGCCCCCACAGTCACCAGATCTCAAACCAATAGAGCATCATTGGGATGTGGTGGAACGAGAGCTTTGTGCCCTGGATGTGCATCCCACAAATCTCCATCAACTGCAAGATGCTATCCTATCAATATGGGCCAACATTTCTAAAGAATGCTTTCAGCACCTTGTTGAATCAATGCCACGTAGAATTAAGGCAGTTCTGAAGGGCGAAAGGGGGTCAAACACAGTATTAGTATGGTGTCCCTAATAATCTGTAGAAACTGATTAACATAAAGTTGACTGTATTATGATTATAATGAAAATGATCGCAGTTGTAACATTTATTAGCTGGTACAGAATGCACAAGTGAAAACTCTTGGCATGTGACAATCACTTATTTTACTAACCATTTCATTATTAGGGTTTCATAAGGTTATTGTAGTAAATGAAAACAAAATTATATGACACTGAAACAATGGGCGTGTAAGAACTATTTCAGTTAACTGAAATAAAATTAAAACTAGATTTTTTTAATGTAAAAATAAAAAATCAAGTACTAAAAGATAATGTGCTGTACATTTACAAAGCTCACAAAAACCGTAATTTACAAAGAAAAGACAAAGTTTATTCTATTATTAAAAAGTCGCTGTATCCACTCACCGCTTATAGATGCTGCACCGCCACCTTTGTTTTCTTTTTTGAGCTTCAGTTGGCGCAAAAACACTGTATACCTTGAACCTTGTAGATGATGCAGCCCCAACGTCAGCATTAGAAGAGAGCGCCATTAGTCACAAATGCTGCATCGTCATTGATTAATTCACAGTGGAGGGGCGCTGCTGAATCAACGAGGTTAAGGTGCACGTTAGTTAACGTATGAGTTGCAGGCAAACGGAATGGAGGAAAAAACAGTTGCAGGACTCAAAAGAAGGTAAGCAACATGTTTTTTTAAAACAGAATTTGGGTACATTTTAAATGGCGAGTGTATCCGGGTTCTGAAACTCTCTGAAGAAACTGGTCGTATTTTGTAGCAAATAGTTGGCTTGCTAGGAAGGCCATGGTAAAAAAATAAAAATAAATTATTTCTACATTCAGCGAGGCTTATACATTCTTGAAGTTACATAAATTGTGTATGATTGGAAAAATTTGATCTCGTGCAGTGAGACCCCAATAATTAATTAAGCTAATACAAAACTGCCCAGAAGAGCGTGAAACCCTCCAAAAAAGATGAGTTTGTATGAACCAGACAGCTCCCCCAGAGATAACCAAGATGGTAATTGAGTTATTTTACTATACTACGGCTTAGCTAATTTTGTTAAGTATTAAAACTGGTTCAAGTGGTTATTTTTAACGTACTTTGGACACTTTACTAACCAAAATATTCGTCAGTATTTGGTCTCCTGGAATTTTTATAAATACTGTATATTGGTAGCTGGCACAATATTGATTATAGCCTACAGGAATTTTTAATGGAATGTCATGAAATAGGAGTGCAACTTATTTGTGCATTTTAGTGACTGAATTTTGCGAATCATCTCAAAATTTAAGGGATAAAATAATTTGTATAGGAATTGCAGCTCAAAGTCCTTTACAAAAAATATTCCTGCGCCATACTCTTCATAGACAATGTGTAAAATAAATAAATAAACAAATAAAATGTGTGATAATTAAATAATGAAAGGGATGATTAAATAATGAAAACATTGAAAAAATAGAATAGAGAGTGCATAAATCAAACAGTTGCAGGAGCGAATAAATTTGAAAGTGCTAAAAGAATAAAGTTAATCCTAGTTGAAGGCTAAAGTGAAGAGGTATTTTGTTGCTTTGCTAAGAGGGTTAGAAATAAGACAATAAAGATATAGTAGCATGTTTAAGTAAGATTGGTTTTTAGCCTGCACTGATTTACTCACAATCTCCTTTTTGTTTACGTTGTGTTCATTTTCAGGACTTTTTGTATTTTTGACCTTTGAAGATGGATACACAGCAAAGATTTTTAATCTCTGTGATTTTCTAAACAAAGATGATAAACCCATCGCTTGCTTTAGAGATCTGACACCAGGAGAAAAAGTACTTGCAAGATGGTCTGACAGTAAGTTCTACAATGCTACAGTAGACTTCATTGGAACAGCTGACAAAACGGTGGATACCAAGAAGGCGACAAAGAAGGACATGAAAAAAAGCGATGCAGCTGCACAAAGATTCTACAACCTTCCATTCCTACCTCAAGCAGGCCAGTCCACCTCTGCACAGGATCACCCAAATACTGTGGACCAAAATGTCATTCAGCCTCCAACAACCTGGCCAGTGTACCAGCCTCCACCTACAGAGTCATTTCTACCTGTCCAGCCACAGCATCAGCATGCAACTGCCTGGCCACAGTACCAACTTCCAGTTTCCCAGTCATCACCAAATACGCCACAACATTACCAGCATTCACCAGTCCAGTCGCTCAACCAGTATGGAACTACTCTGTCTCCAATTCCACACAATTCCAGCCTTTCGCAGTATTCAAAGCATCACCAGCCTCACACAGCACTACCCACACCTTCAGACCAAACACAACAGCAGCCTGTTTTGGCAGATTTGGATCAGCGAAGACAGCCACCAGCTCCTACAGCCAAAGAAAGCTTCCTCAAAATGTTCCACAGTCCTAATACACATCAAAAACCTGCTGTTCTTGGGGACCAGAGCCAGACAAGCACCTCTGTACATGAGACTTCTTCAAGCTCATCTGCAGATACTTTAATCATCGAGCGTGATCCAATTCCAGAATATGGAGAACCATGTTTCATTTCGCCTGAGTCAGCAGAAGACAGATCATGGAAGCCATGCGAAGCATGCAAGACAGAGGTGGAAAAATTAGTGGAGGAAAAGGCCAAACTGCATGAGTCATCTCTCTGTTGCAATTGACCCTTCGCTAAGCTGCGCCCTTCTTAGTTATTGTTGCTACGCCTGTCAAGTTTTCGCAACTGCCACGTCTATTACAGTGTGAATGCACCGGTTCCCAAGGAGATAATTAGTCATTTTTGGCGAACAGGTGAAATATCAGAGAGAGCAAGACAAAAGGGACTGCAGTATGCATTCGAGGGATATATCCACGACATATGCAAACGATTAGAGAATAATTTCATCAAAATTGAAGCTAAAGCCTATAACGTTAGGTCCCAGCTGCAGTAAAATTTTCCTCTGGGAGGGCTCGGCCCCTAAAATACTTATCTCACCTATGTTCTGGAGTTCTAAGAACTTTCTCTTTAGTTCTGTCTTTGCAGGTCTCATAGTTTCCCTGAGATCTGCCACTGTTAAAAAAAAGTGATGGAAAAATGCATCCATCTATATATTATCCAACATGTTGATCTTAAAAGGTATAACACCTATATACTGGAGGCCCCCCCCCCCCCCCCTCACCTCCCCTCTTTTCAAAAATGTTTTCCCTTCTCTCGTCAGTACACCGCATTGCACGTTTACCCTTATATTTTGCCCATTTTTCTGAACATGTATGCATTAGATATTCCCACATACTTGCTATCACTGCCATTACTGAATACTATAGATTTATCTCTCTCTCTCTCTCTCTATACATATATATATATATATATTATATAATATATAATTAATTAATAATGGGTTCTATAAAGGTTATAAGCTATAATGTTAAGGGCCTTCATAGCCCTATGAAGAGGAAAATGATTCTGCGTCAGTTAAAACAAACTAACTGTCAAATAGCTTTTTTGCAAGAAACTTATCTTTCTGACGCAGACCATGAGAAATTAAAGGGATCATGGGCAGATAAAGTGTACTTTTCCTTTCATCCATTAGGGAGAAAGAAACGAGTGCCTATTCTAATACATGGCAGGTAAATTTTACCTTAGCAAACACTCATAAAGACACAGAGGGAAGATACATTTTAGTAAATGGCTCCATAGATGTCATTAATGTCTCACTTATGAACGTGTATGCACCAAATGAGGACAGGCCTGCTTTTATTAAAAAAAGTTTTTAATGTAATTACACAGTATAGCACTGGAATATTATTAATGGGAGTAGATTTCAATTGTATTATGTCACAACATTTGGACAGACAACCCAGCCCTACTACTTCACTCTCTCAAATGAGTAAGATGTTCAAATACCAGTCTTCTGAATTTGGACTTGTAGATGTGTGGAGAAGTATATATCCATATTGAAGAGATTTTACATTTTACTCTTATAGACATGCATCTTATTCTGGGATATATTAATAAGCCAAAGAGAGCACACGTCAATCCTCTTCTCACAAAATTGCACTGGTTGGCAGTTGCCACTCGCATTAAATTCAAGGCGATGACGTTTGCCTACAGAACAGCCACTGGCACTGCTCCCTCTTACCTAAACTCATTACTTCAGACTTATGTGCCATCCAGAAACCTGCGCTCTGCTAGCGAATGTCGTCTTGTGGTACCATCTCAAAGAGGCACAAAATCTCTTTCTCGGACCTTTACCATGACTGTTCCCTGTTGGTGGAATGAACTCAATAGCTAAACACAGTGTTTTATCCCTTTCAAGGGGGAGGGATTTTACATAGAGATAGAGATCAGCATGACAGTGTAACTCAGAGCCTCTGAAAACAAAGTAGGTAAATAAAAGCCTGTTCTCGGAGATTCCTCCAACCTGAGAAAACAAAGTAGGTCAATAAAAGCCTGTTCCCGGAGATTCCTCAGACCTGCATTATCAAAGAGAAACAAAGCCCAGCTGTTCTTGAGTCATCATCTATGCCTCCAAATGGTAAAACACTTGTGTGAACTTTCTGTTGTACCTAAATTAGACATTTAATAAATTTGTAACACTACATCAGTGAGACAAATAAATGTGTTATTTTTAATATAAGGTAGGTGAGGTAGATCAGCCGTGACCCAACTGAATTTCTAATAAAGCAATGTCACATTATACACTAGCCTATAGTTCTGGTAATGCAACTTAAAAAAATGGCGAACTTCTGGAGCCCAGTATATTTACATTTATTCTATTAGCAGACGCTTTTACTCAAAGTGACTTACCAATGAGAACAATAGAAGCAGTTAAACTAACAATAGGACAACAATATGGGGGTGGCAGTGGCTCAGTGGCTCAGCCGTTTCTTGAAAATCGACTCGGACTCAGCCGCTCTGGTTGAGTTGGGGATCAGATGAAGGATCACTTCACTTCACAATCGTGCCGGCAGCCAATCACACACTCCGAAAGCACGCTTCCTTGCGTGATGTGGCTTCGACTTTGGAAGAACGAAATTGCTCAAAAAAAAAAAAAAAAAAAAACTAATTCCCACTTATTCATAAACTTTATGAGTGCTTTTAGTGTTTTCAGTGATGTGCGGCTTGTGCATATCTGTTCACAGCAAAAAAAATGTGTTTTGGGGTTTTATGACCCTTTAATGAGGGCAAGCTTTACCATTCAACTGAGCTGTGCGCATGCATTTTAGACACTAACATTATGTTCTTTGCTCCATCTATGCAATAACTAAATTCTTCTTTAAACCGAGTTTTCTATTTACTTCGACTGCTCAGTGCTCTGGTATTATCCAATATAGGGCTGACCGATAAAACGATAATGATAATTATCGCGATATAATTTTTCTCGATAAAACGATATCAAGAGTTCGATAAATGTTCGATAATGTTTATGCGCCAAAAGCGGAACGAAACTCATTTAAACCGCGCGCGCCTCACGGACTGTTTATCCGCTCGGCTCAAAGTCCAAACGGCAGCGCGGCGCGAGCTCACTAGAGCAAAGGCGTTTACTCTGATCGGCCCCGGTCACGAGATCCAGTGAGAAGAATTCAGAATTCAGCGAAGAACACAAATGACTCGGTGAAAACCAGTTTAAAGGCAGATGAAACAAACAACGATACAGTCAATCTGAATTGATACTGAATCCATTTACCATGGACTTACTGTTACATTAGCAATGGCGCCACCAGGGGGTGGCCTGGCCGACTCCTGGCCACCCCAATGGCCAGAATAAATTTTAGTAGCATCAGTTATGCATTTCATAAATAAGTCAAAAATATTCTTTAGTAAAAGAAGACGGGGCATTATGTGTCGTGAAGTGCTTTTTAAGTGCCAATGGTTACAGTATACTGTTACAGCAGCTTTTTGATGTGTCTTTGCCACGTTTTGACAGGATGCAAACAGCGCGCTTTTCGGCACCTCCTCCTTTTTTTCACGTCAGTTTGGGTGACAAAGTCATCTGAAGGCATTCCATAGCTTAATGTGAGGGACAGAAGTCTATTTACATCATTAAAGTATACGGAAACTCTGCGGCTGTCAATCATTCTCCATTCATATTCAAACAGCGCGCGTGCATCTTGGATGCACGGTAAAACTATCTCCAGTATGATATATTCACATTATAAATTAATAATGCATGATCTGTAGATAAAAGGCTGTAGATTTGCATAAAATTACTTTATTTTGTTGGAGTTTGTTGTTGTTTTTAAACGACTCACTACCGTGTGCTTGCTAGATCATCACACACACATCACAAGGACTATGAATCGGCATCAAACGCACAATAACTGGAATATAAAACTGAAACAAAGGAACAAATCACACTAGGATTTGTGCGCTCGACATTTCTTCGCTTTAATTGTGACGTGAACTTTTAAATGCGCACTTATGCAGCGCAGCGCTCACCATGTTGCTTTGAGCACATCATTCTGCACCCGCGATGCGCATACACGCTGTGTGCGCTCTGTTTTTCATGTTATCATGGGTTTGCGCACTGAAATAATATTTAAAGCCAATATATTTTGTTATACCTAGCCTGCTCAATACATTTAAAATAAGCATAATTTAATTGTATATTATTTCTTTGTAGTGTAGGCTATATATGCACTTCTGAATTCTTGACATTAATATATAAATATAAAATTGTGAAATGTATGATTGCCTGATTGAATTTTATAAGAGAACTAATAGTAATTTGTTTTTATTAACATATTTAGATTTTATAAAATTACTGTGCAGATTTTTTCAAGAATTACTTTTTGCTGCTGATTTATACACTCATTAAGTTTATTAAAAATTCATAGTACATTTATGTAATATTTAAAAGTGTTTACTGTAATCTTACACTGCAAAATAAAAGGATTAAATTCATCACAATTATGTAAGTATCTGGAAATTTGCCGCGGGGCGAGGGCCCTTATATATCATATATATATATAATATATATCATTGTATATAATATAATATTAGTAGGGCCCTACTAATAACATTAGTAAGCTAACATTAAATATAACACAATAAACCAAAGTATATCAGTAGGAGTTTCCTTAAGTCTTTCTGATAGTTTTCTACAGGCCGGTTTACTACAACAGTAGAATAAAATTCTGAAATTATGGTTTATAGTTTTGGTGTGCCACCCCAAGATTTTAGGTGGCCCAATCTGGCCACCCCTATGAACAATTTCTGGAGGCGCCACTGTACGTTAGCCTAGTAATATTAACTGCACCATGAAATGTGGGATATATATTGAATTGTATTATATTATTAATGTAGGCAATGTATTAAGTGACTAATGGAATATAATTACAGTATTTAATAATGTATTTAGGCTACTGTTTTTCATACAAATACCATAGAAACCATAAAGTTACATTTTGCCATGATAGTGAGGTGCTATACATAGGCTATGCCTGGTTTTATCTGTGATTATCATGATCTAAATGCTTGATACTGGATAACCAATGGTTCATTTTAATACAACTCAAACAGTCAGAATATTACATTTTACCAAATAAAAATGTGGTTGTTTAATTTTTTTTAACAGATGTTAACAGTTTTTGTTAATGAACATAAATTTAACATAGTAGTATTAGCTTGAGTTAGGATGCAGATTTACTGTCAACTCACTGTCAAATATGCGTTTCGAGATAA